CTGCCAAACTGACTTCTCAGCATAGTGCTCTAATGCCTACCACTCAGGTCAGTTATTAACCAGTCCCCTCTCCTTCAGAAGCCCCCTGTTAGCCAAAAAAAAAAGAGAGAGAGAAAGACAGATCTATGAGCCCAGGAAGTACTGAGCAAGTTGATGCACGTCTCAGTGAGGTGATGGCTGCCCTGAAAGAAAATAAGCTTTGCATTCTAGCCTAGCTATCTGCTGTCAGTGGGCCATAAATTTCCATACTGCTCTCTATCCTGTGACTAAAATGAACAGTGCAGTGAGAGGGCAGGAGAAGGAACTAGATAATGCCTGACCTGTGGTGTGGTGTGCTTGGTTGGGACGTAAGAGAAGCATAAGTTCAAACATTACAGGATAATAAAATGATAAACTGTGTATAAGTCCAAAAATGTATATAACCTATGTGGCTGAGTAAGTGCTATCGGGTGCATTAAGGCACTTTTTCTAATGTGTATTAAATTTAGTACCTCCAATGTGAGGTACTAAAGAAATGGGTTCTAAATGCCCAGTAATGAATATGCATGGTTTTAAAGTGATGCTTAATAGACAGTAGCCTGTTTTACTATGCATTAGTGTAATTACGCATTTTTTTTACGTAACACTTTAATGTGCAGTAAAATAGGCTATTGCACATTAAAGCGCACGTGTAGATGCACCCATTTACATGTATAAGTTCTGGTCATAGCAACAGAATCTAGTTCAACTTTAAAATCAAGGCACTGTTTTTCCATTCAGGGCACATCTACACCTGCAGTTAATGACCCTGAATTTTATTCAGGGCTATTAAAGCACTCCAGGTCACATCTACATGTGCACCCCTGTCAGGAGCAAATTGCACCTGACAGAAACAGCATAATCTAAGGTGCTCCTGCCCTGCTGTGCCCACCTGCAGCAGCCAAGGGGAGCTTCAGGGTCCCCTGGGTGCCAGTTCCAGGGCTGACATTGGGTATGGGGGCTGGTCCTGATCCTCAGATGCCCAGGAGAGGTGTCCCTGCTTGGCAGCAATGCTGCCTGCCGGCCATGTGGGATCCTCATGTGGCTGGCAAGCAGCATCCCCACTGAGCAGGAACAACTCTTCTGGCCACTTGGGGATTGAGAGGGTCCTGATCCCCATGTGGCTAGCAGCCAAGCTCTTTTGGCCACGTAGGGATTGGGACCCTCCTGATCCCCATGTGTCTGGAAGGTAATGTCCCTGCTGAGTGGGGACAGCTCTCCTGGGCTCAGTGGGGATTGGGTCCTGACTCGATCTCCACATGGCTGGGATGCAGCTATCCCAACTCCTGGGACAGCTCTCCCAGCCACACGGGGATCAGGAAGATAGTTCCCCTCCGGCATAATTCCTCTTCTGCCTCGGAGCTTAACCAAGCAGTGGCACCCCCCGCCTATTGCCTGGGAGCAAATTTCTCCTGGTCAGCATCTACAAATGTGCTACTGCACAGTAGCAGATGCACCATTAATCTAGTACTCGTATTCCTGGTACTAGCAAATGGTGCATTAGCCTAATTAGCCTATGGTGATGCTTTACTGCACATTCAGTTAATCTAATGCACAGTAAAGCATCGCGTGTAGATGCTCCCTCAGAATATTTATTTAAGCATTTGGGGCTTAAATCATCCCTGGTGTTATTTAATTGATTTGAGCATTTCAGTAATATTAATAGATTGAATGTAGGTTTGAATTTGAATGTAATGTTTTTGTTCATATTAGCACTGAATTTTACTGTCCATCTACAAGTCTAGTATCTTGTGATGGAAGTGACTTGTCAGTGACAGGCCCTGCCAGAGAACCTACACATCCCACCTGCTCATGAGGTTGTGGGAGGGAACTCCCATATAGAAGGGGCTTTCATCTCCCTAGGCCTGATCAGAGCCCACTGAAGTCAATAGAAAAAATTGACTGCAGTGGATTACTGGGAGGAGGGACATCAGGCCAGCTACGAGTGTACCAGCACCGTTATAGTGATGTGGAGGTACTGAGCAGGGAATACATAAGGGCACGAGGTCATAGACTACAGGAAAGAGAGATTTTACTTCCGTTACAGTGACACAGGCTGCCAAAAATACACATGAAAGCACGTTCTTGATGCAGGATTCTTCATCTCATTCTTAAAGAATTGTTTGACGTCTTTTGAGCCATCGTGCTGCCATCCAAATTCACATATGTCATCTCTTCTTTTTTTTTAAATGTTTTGTAGTTGGGATTTTGGAGAATGTTTTTCCCAAGCCATAAGTAATCAGGAGGGTTGGCAGTGATATCTCACTGGAAACTATTGCTGGTAGCTGACTAAGTACATTTACTCTCCCTGTGGAAAAAAAAAAGAAAAAGAATATACGATGGACTCTGGTCCAAAAAAAAATATCAATTGGCAATTATTCAAAAGTTTCCATATGAAGAAATTATAAGCAGGGGACATTTTGGTGGAAAAAAACCTAAATATAGTATGTATTAAGCACTCCCAGCTGAACTGCTAGGTTTCCTTCCATTCTGGTTTAATTCTGAAATGTGAACTGAAGGGACACCCAGAACATTTCAAGCACGATAGCATGTTTCTTTTAGTGGTACAGCTCTACTGAAAGACAACGATGATGGAAATTGTAAGAATAAACAATCCTGTCTTTACTAGGTATGAACCTTAGTGAGTATACAGGTGCTAAATGGTTCTGATTTGCTTTTATGTCATCACAGATTATTTTCAGTCTTGATGAAAATGCTATTTCTGTTCCAACAACACAGTGTAAAGAGGATTCCTGCAAGTATCCTTACAATAGGAAAGAGGCATAGTTCAAATAAGTGCCCCTGGTTTAGAAGTCCTGTGTTAACATATTAGTATCAAAAAGAGACAAAACCCTGGCAACTGGAAAATCTCTACCCAATGTAAACCAAAACTTGTTTTTTTTCTTTTTATTTTATCTCTTGATTTTTTTTCTTTCTGTCTAATCTTGTTGCTCTTTCTGTCCTATTTTCTTCAACAAAACTGATGTAATCCATGCACTTAATTCAGTATAAAAATTAAGTCCATTAGCAAGCTGTTTGAAATATTTTTCAATATCTATTCCCATACGCACAAACAATCCTTTGGATGGTACATAGTTGTACAGACATGAGCCTTGTATCCTGCCTTATATTTGAGTTGGTCTCTTATGAGGTAAAGTAATTAGGAAAAATCACTTCCTGTTATGTTAACATAGCATGTGTTTGGGACTAACTTTCAACACCTACCATTTCCTTGTCTTTTTCTTTATTTTTAACTTAAAAACAACAAACCTGCATTTGTTAAGCTGCCTTTTAAAAGCTATCTGTTTTTCAGGATTTTGTCTTCTGTCTCAGCCCTTAATTCTCCTAATAATGACTTCTGATAACACTTTCTATTATTTATAGGGTGACCATATGTCCCAATTTAACTGGAACAGTCATGGATTTTAGAAGCATGTCCAACCAGCCGAGGAAAATTAAAATGAGCTTCCTGGGCACAGGGCAGGGAGGTGATACACCATGAGCTATGAAATAGGAAGCCCTAGCAGACAGCAAAATTGCCCTATAATAGGTTAGCTTGGTTAGTGGAATGACCCTTAAAAAGGGGAGGTGGTTGTTAATACCTGTGAAGTAAAGAATAATGGGTCATTAACAGGCCACTCTGTTAGCTGCCTGAATAGTAGTATCAGAACTGCAACATGCTGCCCCACCCCACCTCTGTCTGCAGCAGCACTGCAGACTTGAGTGGAGTGGGGCAGTGCCCTAGATTTCACTTTGTCCCAGATTTCATATTGTCCTATATGGTCACCCCAATTATTTAGCACTTCACAGATATTAACTGATCCTCCTAGTACCCCAGTGAAACTTGTAGGGACTTTTAAATGGAGAATGTGAGACAGGGAAGTATAGTGACTTGCCCAAGACCCTAACAGTAACTGAACCAACAACTCAAGGCCTCTTGACTCTCCTAATGCCATGTGCAAGGTTAATGATGCTCATCTTCAGGCATCCTGGTTTTCTCTGATAAAAAAAAACCCCAATATTCAGATTGAAAAAAGGAAGCCAAAATCCACATTTTCTCATAATTAAAATAAAATGCCACTATGTATAATATATATATAGTGGTGATAGTGGTGTTGCATTTTAATCATGGGAAAATGTGGATTTTGGGTTCTTTTTTTTAATCCAAAAATTGAGGATTTTTTTTTTATCACAGAAAGCAAGGGTCCCCGTTCATCTGACATGCTTTCAGACTGCTTGATGATACAGATTGCTTCCTTCTCTAGGGGTTCAGACAGAAGTAACAATTTTTGCCCAATCTGGCCTCTGAAAGCTCTGTCCAGCCATGAACTAACACAAGTGGATGGCCACAGATCACTTTAAAGGGCCTGATCCCATGATAATCTGAACGCTCGTTACATGAGAGTTTAAATGAAGGCACTCCAAAGTCCCCCTAAGATGGGGGGCTTCAATTCACACCCTGCCGCTCCAGCACAGGCTGGGGAAACCCCAGAATGGACCTCCCTCCCCTGCCTTCTCCCTCTCCCATCCTGAGACAGCACTGGGGGCTTGGGGGAGCGGGGGGCAGGACTAGGGGAAGAGTCCGTAGAGATGCAGCCTCCCTCCCTGGATCATTTCCAAATTAGAGCTCAGTCCCTGACCCTTCCAACCCAACATCTAATGTTTGTAAGTCAGGAGAATCAATCAAACTCATGGTTCCTTCTTGTAAAGCACCACAGATTCATAGATTGTAAGGGTTAGACCAGGGAGCTACACTTCTGCCTACACCCTAATTGTGCTCTTACAACAATTCCTGAAGCCTTTTGGTTGCCCATCCACATTACCAAGTACAATAATTTTTCCTCTTGCTTACCTAAGCATTGTTTTAATGATAATGAAATTTTAGAAAGATCATTATGAAAAATGAGAAAAGGATTATTTTAAAAAACCATGTGTGTTTAGGTGCAGCCGTGACTAATGTAATAATTTGTCATCTTCTTTAGCTATCAGGTTTGGGCGAATGCCACAAGCTGAGAAGGAGAAGCTCTTGGCGGAGATTTCCAGTGACATCGACCAGCTAAACCCTGAATCTGCTGACCTGCGAGCCCTCGCCAAGCATTTGTATGACTCATACATAAAGTCCTTCCCTCTGACCAAAGCCAAGGCGAGGGCAATCTTGACAGGAAAGACGACAGACAAATCAGTTAGTTCTCTGCTTTTTTTTTTTTTTGAGTAAATGATTTACCACATTGACACAGTAAAAAAAAAATTGCTGTTGGCAGTTACATATTTCAAGCTGTGTCTTAAACACAGGAAATGTTTTTAGATAGGATAAGTAAACATTATTTGAAAAATCTCCAAGTTCACCTAATAAAATACTTGAAACCAGTACAAGAATTTGAAGGTCATCTTAACCTTTTTGTACTCCCTGAACCATTCTTCCCATTTCCCCTCTCCTCTATCTGCCATACTATCTGTTTAATAGGGCTAACTATCTGGTAGACAAAAAGCTGAGATTCTGTTGCAAACATTCATATAGTAACATATTACCAGTACTAGCGGTGACCCCAAAGAAATAATCTAATGTAGTTGTACTCTTCTACTTTCCTTTCCCATAACTGGCAAATGATTCACAGAACCAGGATTGCATCTCTTCATAAAATGTACTGCTTGTTCCTAAGATGTAACGATGATTTCCTGCATTTAAGTTAGTTATCTTGGGTCAATTCAGCATCCTGTGGTGCTGCAAGTAGAATTTTAAGAAAACACATTACAGGAAAATCTTTGCAACATTATACATAGAGGGATATGTACTTTGAGGGTTTCCTTGAAAAATTCTAAAGCAACATGTAGCAACATAGCATCCTTTTAACCCTGTGGAATTTGGTTTTGTATCATTCAGTTGCATAGGGATAAAAACAGCTTTTCTAAAACCAAAATCAGTTTGTGTTGATGTATTTGTTTAAACAGATAGCAGAGAGTTTGGTTGTCAGGAACATGCTAGAGACAGTGTATTTGATTTCCCTTGATTTTATCAAGAGTAAAAAAGAATGTTACACATTTTGGGCTGCCACTAAGGGCATGTCTACACTGTCAAAGGATCATATTAGGGAATGCTACAGTGAAACATGTGCTGTAAGTTGAAATGGATATAACGTAGATACCTTGCAGCAGTGAAATTATTGAGCAGGTGTGCCATGCTTCATTTCAGTGCTTCCTTGTGTGGTCCAGAGGTCATAGTCATATGCTAATGGTTTGTCTTTACAACAAACTTAATTTGAGTTATCACTTGAATGTTTCTTTTAGACTCAAGCCTTGTGCACACACAGAAAATCTGAACTTGAATTTGATGATTTGACATAATCTTGAGTTGTTTTGATCCAACCTGGGTTAATCGGGCACAAGAATAACCTCTTAAAGAAAGTCATTGGCAGTCCCTAAATTCAATGATGATCTACCACAGTGCATTGAGATGACTTGAGAGTTGCAGGTCTTTCCACAGGGTAGCATAGGCTATAGCCTGGGATTCCTCTTCTTTTCTTTCCTCTGCACTCATTTCTATGCTTTGAGGGCAAGACACATTACCTCAAAACAGGCTGCTGTGTGTTTGAGGTTGACACCACTGGAGTCTGTTAGCAAGCTGCCCCTCCCAGCTCTTGATGTTGGCATCTGTTTTCTTCAGGTATGCATTCAGTGTGTCCTTGTAGCATTTCCTCTGGATCTGGCTGGAGATAGAGGGCAGAACTAAAAGGAAAGTTCCATAACCCAAATCCTCTGTATTCGGGTTATGAAGGAAGCTGAGAAGCACAGTGGAAGCTTACAAGTCTTTAGGTTAGGCTTGGCTGGACAATTCAGCTAAAGGGACATCCCAGAAATTTCTCCTTTCAGGGAGAAAGATCTGAGCTAAGAGATCCACCACTTTCTGTTTGGAAATGAAAGAGCTGACTTGATTAAATGTTCTCTCATCCCATAACTGCCACTATGTTCATCAGTAGCAGATAAGGATATTTTTCCAAATCTTTTTGCTAAGATAACCAGTAAAAAAAAATTAACCACTAACAGCATTGGCTTTTAAAATATTAGAGTCAACATTTCATTGAGGAAAATGAGGTGTTCTACTCCTCTCCTCAGGATTGATTCTTATCCTATTTCTATTTCTAAACTTGATGCAGTTGGTCTTGATTCACATGCCAATGCAACAGAAGAGCAAAAAATCCTTGAAGTAATTGTCTCTCCCTGCAAATTCAAATCAGTCCACAGCAAAAAGATTTCCTTCCTGAACTGTCTGAAAACTTTTTTCAGTGACACACTTAAATTCTAGAGAAATTTTGAGCCTTCTTAATGGAATCTTTATATATTTTACTATAATTTCTCTTTTTTTGCATATTACATTTTTATTTTTTAAACTAAGCCCTAATTATACAATAGTATGGAATTTGTCCCAAAATTATAACTAATGTGAATCTACATGCAGTTTTCACATTGATGTTCCACATTACTTAAATTAATGTAATGAAATACAGTATTAAATCAATGTTATTGAATGCAGTCACATTGGGTGCATCTACACGTGCAATTAATGCTCCTGAATTTTCTGTACAGAAAATTCAAACTCATTAAAGAACTCCATGGCACACATCTGTATGTATGCCCCCATTGAGAGCAAATTGAGCCCAATAGGAACAGACCAGTCCAGAGCTGCGCCTGCCCTACTCTGCCCCCCTGCAGCAGCCAGGAGGAGTTCCAGGTTCTCCTGGGTGCCAGCCCCAGGCTGGCAGGGAGCACAAGGGACTAACCCCAAGCTCTGGAGAGTGGGGGGAGCTGTCCCAGCTGGATAAGCAGCTCCATCCCAGCTCGGGGGAGATCAGGGTGGCCCCAAAGAGATGGGGGAAGCTGTCTCAGCTGGATAAGCAGCTCCATCCCAGCTCAGGGGAGATCAGGCTGGCCCCAAAGGGATGGGGGAAGCTGTCTCAGCTGGGCAGGCAGATGGAGATCAGGACCCCTCCAATCTCCACAGGGCAGGGAGAGCTGTCAAGCTGCCAAGCAGCTACCTCCCAGCCACATGGAAACTGAAACCCATCCCAATCTCCATGTGGCTGGGAAGCAGCTGCCTAGCAGCCATGACAGCTCTCCTTGACCCTGTGTGGCCCCCTGCTGTCAGCATCAATTTCTCCCAGTCAGCATCTACACATGTGGTACAGTGCATTAGTTAATGCATTGTTTTTCTAGTACCTGTATCTACAGGTACTAGAAGACGGTGCATTACATGAATATACTGCTCCGTAATTGCTGTGCACATGTAGACAGTGATTCTTTACTATGTATTAGATTAGTTTAATGTGCAGTAAAGCATTTTATGTAGACACACCCATTGAGGGGATGTATACGCAGCACTGACTGAGGTTCTGATACTACAAACTTTTATGGGCGCGAATCATTTTATGCATATTAGTAGTTACATTGAGTTGACTTTGTATAGTCCTTTGTACAAAAGTTACTGAACTATGTAAGTTTTTAAAGGGTCAGAGCATAAAAACATGATATCCTATCCCAGAATACAGTGAAACTTGTATGGATTCTTTATGGGTTATCTAGTCTTCAATTGTTTCATATTTGTGGCCAGAAATCTGTACCGATGATGGTACCGATGATGGTACAGGTACCGATGATGGTACATCTACAAATCTTTGTGTTGTTTTACAAGATGCTTTAAAGCTGTCTTAGATTTCAATAACTGGTCTTATGCTCTGGTGGGTAGTTAATTAATAACTGCTTGGACTTTGGAAGTGATTTTGTGATGTCTGGATGTTACATCTATGTCATGTATATAGTGTGCCATCACATGATGTTTTATTGTTTATTAAAATTTAAAAACCCTTGCCAGACTAGAGATAATCATAAAACAGTACACAAATAGACATCTCTATGCATAAGTTGCTGCCACTTTTCAGGTCATGTTTAAATTACCCACAGAGACTGAATGCTCTTAGACAGTAAATAATGATTAAAACATTTATGTTATTTGTACTGTAATGGACTTTGTGCTATGAGATGTGAAGCTGTTTACTACAATGACTATTTATATTCTTTAATTATATCTGCACCACATGAAAAGGATTGGATATGCAAAAGTGGTGTGTAAAATCTAAAATTACTAAATAACCAGTCCTGTTCTGGAATGTATAGAGCTCCTCAACCAAAGCAAGATAATCTTCTGATTACAGAGTTCTTTTGAATCTTTAAATCATGTTTTCTTGGCCCATTTTAGCTGTTTTATTTATTTTCACTCCATAAGTGTCAATTTGTGTAATAGCCCAAATGACATAAACTAGTTTTATATCTTTTGCAGATAAGCATGCAGAGAACAGATGTTATCAACAATGATTTTCTCAAGTTTGGTGCTAAAGAGCAAGTAGGAATCTGTTGAAAGAATAAGAGAATGACATAGCAGAACGGGAGGTTCAGAAGCCTATGTTCATTTAGCCATTATTCCATCCAGTTATGTACATGAAAGTGTTCCTCTGTTGCCAGAACTGGAAGAATGTGTACATTAAATCTTGAGAAACATCTGTGTAGATCTTGCTGATATTTCTCAGAGCCATGGTTTTTTTAAAATTTCATACCCCTCAAAGAAGAACAAGGGTTGTGTCCTAGTACAGTAGCTATGTAGCCAGTGTTGTACCTTCTGCTGCTTGCATTTTAATTCAGATTCCTAGCCTGAAGCCATTTGCCACTTAGCCAATTTTTTGGAATTGGAATTTTAGAATTTTATAGGTCTTGTACACGTAAGAAAGCTATTAATTTAACTAAACTGGTTTAGAAATAAGTTAATTGAATGAGTGTGATTCCATTGTATGGACACTTATTTTATTTTTAAGGATGCCTTATATTGAGAAGCTTAATTAGGTTTCCCAAGTGATTTAATTAAATCATAATATTTTTTTATATAGGCAAAAGTTTTAGATGCTGATTCTGTTGAAAAAGACCCCTTTATTTCATTTGGTTTTGGTCTCTCTGCAGCCATATTACAATGAATTTAAAATTTTAAGAGAGTGCCATGTGGCTCCTAGAAAACAGATTTTTGCATGAAGGAAATAAGATTTTTTTACATAGCCAAGAGGATTGCTTTGCAAGAACAGTTACATTATGGTATCCAAAATATGCCCCCCTCTATCCCTCCGCCCTCCTTGTATTTCATAGCAAAATTGGTGAGTGAGATCTTGGAACAAGGTGGAAAATTTTGATGGGCTTACAGACAGAAGCACTGAGTCCTTTTTCATAGTGGGTGCATTATACACGTGCTTTACTGTGGAATTGACTAATTAGCTCCTCAGTTAAGTGTCACTTTCTACACATGCACCCCTATTATGGTGCAATAAATTAATTAGCCCCACTGTAGAATAGTACTGTCTGAGACAAGGACCATCCTACAGCAGAGTTATTTAGTGAACCAAAACACTGGGGCTGGCTAGGGCAGAAGGTTGCTACAGTGCAGGGCTGCCTGCCCCACACTGGAGCACCTTTGTGCCCCAGCAAGCCCCTCTGAAGCATGTTGAACCAAGATGGAGCAGCTCCAGGCTGGCAGTCTGATCCCCTGGACCCTCTGCCAGTTGGGGCTGCTCCACCCCGACTCAATGTGTTGTGGTCAGGGGCACATGTGTAAACACCGTGCCCAGGAGCAACCTGCACCCAGCAGCAATAAATTCCGGCACACACCGTGCTGAAGTTTCTTGCTATGTGCTATTTGCATGTATAGATGCACCAAGTGTACTGCATACTATTTCCCAGAAAAACTCAAGTGCCCCTGCAAAGGATTTAAAACTTTTGTTTGTTAGCCTTATTGAATACATACCAGAATGTTCTCTACTAAAGACTAGTCAAAGACACGAATAAACATTACACAGTGTGATGGCACAACTCACAAGATGGATTTCCAAAGACTTGTTCCTAATTAAGGAACTACTTGTGTGTCACAGAATTCATAGAATTTTTGAGCACTTAGTATATCTACTATTAATGAAAACTGAGAACTTAAGAAGAAACTTTGATGTATTTAGAACTGAGGCAGGAAAGTAACTGAGAGAATCAGTGCCATTCAGAAATAATAGCACCCCATGATTATTATCTATTAAAGATAATATTGAGAGCTCACGTTTATAGCTATCTTTGTAGATCCAGTTTGTTTATGTATTAGCATCTATCTTTAAAATGTTTTTGAAGCAGTAGATCGTCTTATAAAGCATGGACCACCTTATAAACTGCAAGGCTGCATCCAGTCGAGCACAGACGTTTGGTTCTCTGGGGACAAGTAGCAGTGGCTCATCTTGCACCACAGCTACTTGTCCCCAGGGAACACCTATGCCATGCGCACTTTGGTGTGTGGCAGGTTACCCCAGGGGCGGTAGGACTCCAGCAGCCTTACCTGGAGTCGTAGGGGCCTCCTGGGGCTGCAGCAGAGGTAATCTTGCCAGGCAGAGCCTTGCTGGAAGCTGCAGTGCGGCTCTGGACAGCCCAGCTCTGCTTTTCAACAGTGCACACTGTCCATGTGTGCGCTTCTTTTTTTGGATATCCAGGAGTAAAAAGAAAACAGGGAAAAAAAAGACGGAGCAGCACATGCATGGGCAGCATGCCCGTGCAGCACAAAGAACACCTGACTGTGCAGTATGTGGTACTGCAGACATATTTGCAGCACCATATACCACATGTCTGCGCTCATCTAGATGCACCCCAACTGTTCTGCTTCTTCCGTGTCTTTGTCTTCCCTTTTAAACGTAACATGGAGGTTTTTCATCCAATTCTGCAATCTTTTCTTAAACTGCCAAAAGGATTTTTTTTTTTTTGCTGAAAAATAAAAATTCAAATGGCACATTTCCTGGAAGCAAAACACAATCCAGTTGGTACATGTTTAAAATACTTTTATGACTTCAGTAATCTAGGACTTGATCCAGTGCTTCTTGAGATGAATGGAAGTTTCTTCATTAATATTAATGGATATGGAATAAGGTGAGCAATGAAGACTATAAAATCTGGGTTGCAAGCATGAAAGCTAATAAAGTACATCATTTTTCAGTTCTACATATCTGGCATAGTGGTGGAATAGAGGTTTTGGTGCTGCTTAATCCCTTGAAAGAGTATAAACAGACAAGTATGACAGAAATAGTAAGAGAAAAAGTAAACTGCAGCATGGAAAAACATAAGGTAGCCAAATGAATTCTTTTGTTTTCCAAGGTAGACTCAAACAATCTAGGGTAAATGATGCATGCGCTTGATTTAATAATTTGGCATAAAGATGAAGGTTCCTAAAATAAATTCAGAGCTCTTCACTTGTCCACCTATTTTAACAGATCATACCCAGAGGACTCACAGCTGCTTATTTTGAAATAGATTGTTTCCAGCTTATAAAAGATTTCCTGGCATCATTTTTTTAAATCTGTTTTCAAATTGATATATTCCAGGGTTTATTTATTTATGCCTGGGTTTATTTCTCAGGCATACTCATCATATGAATTGCTTTTATTGTAATTTACATCATGCTATTTTTTGTATGAAGTAGCTCTTCGTTAACGTGTTTTTTGAGTTTAAGAAACTCTTAACTCCTTTTAGTATGATGAAGTTAATAGCAATGAGTACATTTTATAAAATGGTCATGGTTAAACAGTGTAGATTATTTGCAACACTTTCTAGGATAGGATTTTAAATGATCATATGAGGTAAAAAAATACTGAAGATACTATATCTGTCTATAAAAATGTTCTACCAATGAAGATACAATTCAGACATTCAGGTAGAAGGCAGGGTAGGGTGGCACCTTAGGTCTCTGATACACATTATGTTTAGGATGCAGTTAACAGGTTATTGCATCCTGTTAATTGCCACACGTGCAAATCAGGTTAAGGCATGATAGTACAGTAAACGATCCACAATGTTATTCTGCATTATACGTGGAATAACTTTGTGACCTGTTTGTATCATGCCTTAAATTGAATGTGTGGCCAGGATCTTAGATATTAACTCATTCAAAAATGCAAAAGTTTTTATAGGCAGCAGCCTACTTCCATTTATAGCATCTGAAAAAGTAGGCTGATGCCTATGAAAGTGTGTGCATTTCTGAACAAGTTAGTTTCTAGGGGTGCCTATACACAAGTGTGGAGGGTGCTTCAACGTACTGGAATTCCAGCATGTCAGAGCAGACTTGATTAATCGAGTCTGCTGGAGCATGGCAATTACCGTTCTCCAGCACCCTCCTATATCTCGTGTATCAGTGTCCCCATGCATAAAAATGGTGACGGGTGCTTGAACTAAAGGTGGTCTAATGAGCTTTAGTTCAAGCACCCTTGCCACCATTTTTAAGCACAGGGATACTGATATACAAGATGTGGTGGCACTTTAGGGTGGCTCTCGGAGCCACTTTAATTATAGTTCTGCCCCTCACCCACCTCTAGAGCACATGTAAAAGTGTCCTAATGTGCCACCCTGCCCTGCCCTCTACCTGACTTCAGACTAATACTGCTAACTACTAACAATCAGGTATAATTCTATTATTGGATATAAACTATTAAAATTCAGGTAAAAGGGGTAACAGTCTTTTATTAATAACATTCTGAACATTGAATTAAACACTTTTATGAAAATAAATAAGGCATCATTAATAGATACTTTTTAGGAGTGAAAACTGTTTTTTGTTTTAAAAAATTGCTTTTATTGACTTCTTTAAAAATTGCCTTTCCAAAACTCTAAACTCCAGAAGGTGGATTCACAGCAAGTGTGAGAAATTTTTTGGAATGACTTTTCCCTTCAACAAACTATTTTTAACTGTAAGAATGTTTGTTCTAAAGAGTGACATGTACATTTTAACCCAAAAGTAATCTCCCTAGGTACACTGATACGTATTTGCACATTCCCTGTTCTACTTCCATGTGTTTCCTAACAATGATTTATGTGTTTTATTGTACTTTGCGGTCTTTTGGTAATGTGTTGTACACAGAAGTGATACGTGAAACTGAATTATATTTTTCCTTTTATTTTTAGCCATTTGTTATTTATGACATGAATTCTTTAATGATGGGAGAAGACCAGATCAAATGCAAACATGTGTCACCCCTTCAAGAACAGAACAAAGAAGTAGCAATTCGCATCTTCCAGAGGTGTCAGTTTCGCTCTGTGGAGGCAGTGCAAGAAATCACAGAATTTGCCAAGAATATTCCAGGCTTTGTGAACCTCGATTTGAATGACCAAGTAACTCTGCTGAAGTATGGTGTCCATGAGATTATATATACACTTCTGGCTTCTCTGATGAATAAAGATGGGGTTCTTATATCTGATGGACAAGGATTCATGACACGGGAGTTTCTGAAGAGTTTGAGAAAACCTTTTTGTGACTTTATGGAGCCCAAGTTTGAGTTTGCTGTGAAGTTCAATGCACTGGAATTAGATGACAGTGACCTGGCAATATTTATAGCAGTCATTATACTCAGTGGTGGTAAGTATTGCTTTTTAATATACTTGTTTTTTTGTATATGGTTGCCATTTTTAACAGTTGTCAAAACAGGAAAGGGGGGTCAGAAGTACTCAGGGATAGAGATGTAGCTGTTTAAATATAACCTTTGATTGACTTTCTAATGCTTTGATGTTCCCTGCACCTCCTTCACTCCCTGATACAAAGTGCTCATGCAGACGTGCTGCTGTTACCAACAAATTTGGCCATGCTTGCTGAGTCAGCAGTATATTTCATTTAAAAAAACAAAATCAGGGCTGTCTTATTCAAAACAGGAAGGGTGGGAACCATCCCAGCAAGAGCATTTCAAAGGCAGCTTGCTATAATTAGAGTTCTTTTACACCCACAATTAGATTGTGTAGAATTTTAATAGTTTACCAATAACTTGCATCCCAATAATAATTTCAAATAATCACTCAGCATTTGACTTACACAAATATAGATTTTTTTTTGAAGTAATGAATCTTCAATGTAAAATAAAAATAATTAGTTACTTAGGAAAGCAGGGGCTACTAACATTGAAAATCAGATGGGGTATAAGCTCTGTTCAGACCTTCCCAGGCTGACAGGCTAGTATGTATATTTGTATTTTCAGGACAGAATGAATCCTGAGGCTAAAGCAGCAGAGTATTTGTAATCTCTTACAACCTAGAATTAAAGAAGGCAGGGAATTTTTTCTGTTCTTTATTGAAGATTATCAGCTCTTCTGTCTCCTTCCATGTCCGTCATCTCTTGTGGAATTTTGTGAATCAATTGCTGGTAGCAGTCTGAAGCCAATCAGTTCTTTTACTCTGTAGCTCCACTGATTTCAGCTTTGTGGTACAGATATAACCTAGAAGAGAATTTCATCCAGCTATCTGTGTATGTGGGCTCAGTTCTGCACTGCAGATGTGAGATAGGAGACATGTGCATGCTTCTGAATACAGAGGGCTTCTTTATTAAATTATTTGTTAACATAAGCAACCACATTATCCTACCAATATCAAACATTTTGTTGAGAGCCTTGTTAAGTTTGATTTGCTATGCATTGAATTTAAACTAATGCAAAATTAGTTCTAGCATTCTCTTTCATTCAGTGAAAATACAATATCACAACATGTTTTATTAGACTAGCTAAATCCACTTCAAACAAGTACAGCTCTTCTCAGAAGACCTTTTCTTGAGCAAGACTTTTAAACAAATTGATCCCTGAGGACTTTGAGTTAATTCAGTAAAGAAGAAATATGATACCAGCACATTTTTAGTTGGCTGTAGGAGTTATATAAGCTTACCAGGGTATTCCAGAAAGTGAGCCAATATTTTGAGTTTTCTAATATTAGTGAAAAGTTAGATGAAAAACAGGCCTCCTAAAATCCTCCCTATACTAATTGAAAAAAGAGGACTCATAATCTGTTACTGTAATTCTGGGTCTGTTAAATTTCAGTGAGGTTTGTTTTATATTTGAGGAAACAGGTATGATGTAAGTAATGTTAAATTTTGGATCCCATGTAGATAATAATCCACAAAAATACTGAACTACTCTGAGTTAGATTCATCAGCCAGTAGTATTTCTTTGTCTTGTATGAATAATTTGAAACCAGAGATTCATAAACTATTTATTGAACTTTATTAATTAGTCCTAAAATAATTCTGAATTTGATCCAATCACTCTAACATATAAATGAGCTCCATTTTCACAGAAATCTTGTAGTTTTCAAATACTAAAACAGATTCCTGAATGTGATGGCTTCCTATTTGTCTTCAAAACTTGTTAAAATAAGAACAGTGTTTTGTAAAACATGTATCCATGACAATAAGTACTCATTGTCTCCTTGAGAATAGTATTGTCCTTTAGTTTAGAGAGTCAGATCCCTGCTTATGATGTTTAAATGCATATCTCTAGTAAAATGCATGAAAAGCAGTCTTCTCTCTTTACAACAGGCAATTTAATACTGTCAGGCTTAATGAAGTGTGAGAATAAAATCCTGTTTCTTGGCTCTTTTGGATGATCTTGTTAATATTTCAGGGGGCCTTAGCCAGCCTAAAAATTGAAGAATCAGGACAGTTACACTTGAAAATTAGAGATCTGGAGCCAATACATCCTTTTTGAATCATTCATTAGAATGTTGCAATGTTAAAAGAATTTTAAAAATATATCTGTGTATATATGTATACCCTAGAAAATAACTAGCAAGTGCTCTTAGCTGCAGTTTACAAAGACTCTACAGCCAAATAGTTTGCTTCTGTTTAAGTGAAACTGTCATTGCCTAGGCAAATAATGCTGAATCTGCTGTCCCCTTAAGTGGTACCTCTTATGCTGTTTAAAAAGGAGGAAAAAGAAAAGGCTATTTCCAGCTGGAACATTGAACGGGAAAAGTTTCTCATTGTCAAGTGAAAGTTTGGAACGCATCACAGTTCCTCTGAACTTCTAAATCATTTGAGATTGAGACAGTTTCATACATGGTGTATTTTACAAGGCAAAATGCCCACATTATAATCATAGGGAGAAGCTGACAAATGAACTGTAATGGCAACAAATTAAAAGTAATCCCACCTCCAGAGTCACCAACTTGAGCTTCAGCTAAGCTATTCAAAGCACAGTGGGCCACTTTGTTCAGCTGAGGTCCCTCCAAATGCTGCTTGGTGCCCATTATTATAAAACCTAACAGCTGTTCTTAATGTGTATGTGTATGTTCTGCCTGAAAAAAAAATACTGAACATTTTCAGCTAAGGAAAAAATATTCTGCTGCTTCAAAAAAATGCTGGCAGGACCGAGGCTATGCCCAGATAGTAAACTTACTATCCCCAGCAGTGAGCACCTTAAAAATGCTGTGTTAGCCTGTGTGGACTGCTGCTTATATGGTAAGCAGGGTTGATGCCTCTGCACAGCATTTGGGCTAATTAGCTGTGCTGACATTGACAATTAGTTTGTCCTCAAACTAATAAGCTTGCTCATATGTATGCAGTTACACTGATGCTGGTTTACAAGGTGGCCTGCCCAGCGTGGGACAGTGTGTTTGAAGGCAGGATCTCCAGGAACAGTAAACTTACCATAGACACATAGCCAAACAGTGCTTTTCATGGTCAGCAAAAAAATGCCTATTTCTGACAAGGGACATTTTTTATCCTATTGTCAGCAATGTAAAGTTTTCATCCAAGCTTTTTATAATTCATTTTACAGTAAAGGCTTTGTTATCCAGCATGCATGGGGAATGGAGGGTGCCAGATAACAGAATATGCTGGATAACTGAGCGGCCTGAACAGGCGTCTTTGCCTGTTCGGGCCGCTGCCTTTCCCACCACGTCTGGGGTGTTGCCACCCCTCCCACCATGTTGCTGCCCCTCCTACCACATCGCCGCCCCTCCCGCAGGCTCCAAGGGCCAGGGAGGGGGGACCTGTGCAGCCTGCTGTGCCCCTGGGCCATAAGGGCTTGGCAGCACAGGCTGCTTTCCCCCAGGCTGTGGGAGCTCCACAAAACAGGAAGTGCCACGGTAGGCACTTCCAGTTTCACTTTTCCCTTACAAGCCCTTACAAGTCAGCATGCCAGTTAACAGAGCATGCCAGCTTGTAAGGTGCCGGTTAACACAGCTTTTGCTGTACTTTAAAAATGTACTTTGTTAAAGTAAAATTTGGAAAAACATTTTCAGAGACTCTCCCAGGCTAGGGACAGACATTACACACAAACTGGTTTAAGTGATCAGAAACTGGTTTAAACCTGTAACAGAACTGATGTTTGGGGCACATAAACCAGTTTGAAAATGGCTGAAACCAGTTTGAGATAAACCTGGTTGAATGTAGTATCAGACTTAACTGATTTGGTTCAAGCCACTTTATGCAATGTCTGTCCCAGACCACTTGCTAGTTTAAGATAAAGCAGACACCCCCAGCATCCCGGCATGCTTTGTGGGCTGGATGGGCCCCTCTCCTCCACAGCAGGGCTGGCCCCTCCCCTCTGCTCCCTGGCTACAGCTCCCACAGAGACTGCAAGCATCTGCCTGGCTTCCTCCTGCTCCCCCCTTCCCCTCTCCACTCCTTGCTGAAGCAGAGATTCCTGTCTCCTCTGCCTTACACAGACACCTCTCAGCATTAACTAGCAGACCACATGCTGGCTATGGTCCATGCTGTGGCAGACAGGACGAAGTCATAATCAGTAGGTAGTTTGTAACATCCCATTCTCAGGCTTTTTGAATGTCTCTCCCTAGCCCCAGTCATTATTACCCTCCATCAAGTGTCCCCCTCAGCAATACATCCTCAACTACATGTAGAATATAAGAGATTCAGCAGTGCCATAGAGAAAGTGACTGCTTCTTCGTGCAGCATTTTCTTTCTCTAAAAAATACTCTTGTGAATAAGCTTGTGAAAAGTGCTGTATTATCACCCCAGGAGGTTGCAGAACAGCTGTAGTGCAGGGTCAGATAGGAAGGCCTCCCCCTACAGCCCTGTACAAATTTTGTGATAGAAAAGACCATCTAGAGGAATAGGATAGTTCAGATTTTGGTCCTAGCATGCTGACTATCCTAAAGGCCACTTTAATGACACTTTTTCACTGAGAAGTTCATTATGTCTATGGGCTTATTTCACATGCAGTGGTGAAGAGAGCATGCCACTAGCTTAGTTTCATATCAAAAGGGGGAAAGCTCACAGAATATAATAACCGATGAAGGGAAAATAATGGTTGGCAGACTTTTACTATTACATCAGAATGGAAAGAACCTTGATTGTTTAATGAATGTCATCTGAGTAATGCAAGCAGAACTAAAAATGAAATTTTAGATGTCAAAAGTGCCTTTCCCCCATTGTCTAAATGCATTTAAATGTACACAGTCTCACTGAACTAATTCGTTAGCATTCCTGTAAAGTTCATAACTGACCAGATTACTGGAAAAGAGAGGTGTTTCTTCACAGAAACTGAGGTATAAATTCTGACAGAGGATGGCCAAAGGGTTAAAAAGTGAAGGGCTTTTTTCTGTTGTGTTATCCTTTTGTAAAGGTGTATACATTTACAT